ACTTCAACGCCACTTCCCATGGGCCCCTCTTCTTTGGCACCGGGCACAGGCTTCTGGATGGTAATTCATCTTTTCCATGCTCACAACTCTTCCAGTGGAGAGAGACTTTCTTCAAGGCAGAAAGGTGCAAATATTAAATGCGTGTGAATGTGAATGTGATTTTTTAAATTTCTGGCCTCAAAAGAATTTCCTTTGCCCCACAGGGGCCAGTAGGGGAAGGTAAAAGATTCACCAGTGTTTGTCAACTGATGGAATTTATAGGTTAGTCGACGGAAAATAGGTGTGTTGGAAAGAGAACTGTCATATAAATATAAGTAGTTACGCTGCTGGAGTCGTTCATCCATCCACATGGCCTTCTGTTCAAGCAGACCCCATGGAGTGACCGAGACAACTCATTCTGAGTCCACCAGACCCCAGGCCAGGCCGGCTCTGCTGCTTCTGTCCCTTGCAGTGGGGGTGAGAGGGTGGGGCAGGCATGGCTCCGTCTCCTGGAACTCACGTACTCGGGCAACGATTTTTACAGCCTCCACAACCCAAACTTTCCCAGTGTTAACACTGAAAGTCCCGCATCCCCTAAAACCCCTCAGTCCCAGACAAATGGAGATAGCTGGCCACCCACCTGCTGGTTTCTCTCATCCCCTTTGTGATTTGGGCTTACAAGCCCCCCATCCATCCCCCCACGCCGGGACGATGTTGTGCCTCCCACCAGGCTGGGGCTTGCGGGTCGTGATGGGTCCCCTGCCTGCTTCCCACTTGGCATTTCTCTGGGCACAGCCTGACGTCTTTCTCCTTCCATTTCGGTGCACTGTAGGTAGCCGAGGGAGTCTTTGTCCCAACAGGGGTAACAAGAGGAGTGTTCACAAAAGAACACACCGCTTCTGTCCCTCCCTGTCTCAAGGCCACGAGCACACTCTGCCTCAGCTGGCTCCCAACAACTCCACAAAAGTGGGGCTCTTTTCTTCCAGATGCCATTTCAGATGAAGCCAAATATTTTAAAACTAGACAAGCAACACCACAGCTAAGCGTGCTTGGACTAGAAGATAAACGTCTGGCAGATCTACGCAAATCCCTTGAGTCAGTGGGAGGTGTTTTCAGCGGCAAGTACAATGCGTGACTAAAGGGGGGTGTCGCACCGGAGCTTCGCGCTCCTTGCATAAGAAGTCTGGAGGTGGGCAGCTGCTGATATTGATTCAGGGATTGGTGATGGCAGGCTCTGAATTGACATCAATGCCATTCCCTAGGTCCCCTCACATAAAAACACACACACAAAAAAACCGGCAGTAGTGACTCTAAACATCACGCCTTGTGCAGCTGAGCTCACAGGGAAAGCAGGTGGCCTAGAACAGGGCCTCTCTCCCTCCTTTGCCTCTGACCCAAGGGAAAAGCATCCCCAGAAGCCCCCTCTCCCCAGTGCATTTCCCTTCACATCTTACTGGCCAGAAGTGGGTCATACACCCATCCATAGGCTGGGGGCAGCGAGGAAACGGGATCACAGTCCTACAGCCACAAGGAACTTTGTTCTGCCAACTCCCCGAATGACCAAGGGAACAGGTGCTCCTCGAGAGCCCCCGGGAGTGAACAATTCTGCCAACACCTTGATGGTAGCCCATGAAACTCATGTCTGACTTCAGACCTGCAGAACTTTAAGGCAAGACATTTGTGTTGTTTCAGCTGCTAAGTTTGAGGTCCCTTGTTACAGCAGCAATAGAGAATGAATACAGATGCTATGGCAACGGGCCCCTCCCTGCTTCAGAATATTCTGGTGCACGGCAACTGATGTCATAGAAAAGATTCCAGGAGAGCAGGCCATGGGAAAGGACTTACGAAGCTCTTGGGTGAAGGAAAAGGGGTTACTGAGAAGTAGCATCTGAAAAATCCAGGGAACTGAGTGGAGGGAGAGCAACTTTCCCATAGGAAAGGCCGAAGCAGCCACAGGGGCTCTTCCTCCCCTCCCCCGAGAAGGCACCAAGACCTGCAGACGGACTGGTGGACTGGTAAACAGGTACGTGGTGGGCAGGAACTAGGACAGGTGTGACAATACCCAGCCGCAGGTGATGCTCATCAGCAAATTCACTTATTGCTCATCTGAAGACAGTTCTGCTGGGAAGGGTAGGTTTCTGTTCATTTGTTCATTCCAGAGAGATTCCCTGAGCACCAGCTGTGGTCAGGGAATCCTATTTGAGGTGGTGAGTTCATCTGAGCTGAGACCATGACCAGAAAGAGCAAGCTATGTGGTAGCTGGGGGGAGTTGTGCTCCTGGCAGAAGAAACAGCATGTGCAAAGGACCTGCGGTGGGAATGAGACTGGGCTGTTCTAAAGCAAAACACGCAAGGTGAACTTGGTGGTGTGAAGGTGAGGGAGAGAGGTGTGAAATCGGGCTGGAGAGGTTCTCGGGGGCTAGGTCAGGAAGGGTCTTGTCGGCCAGGTTGAGGAGTTGGGATCTTATTTAAAGTACAAGGGGAGGAGGCATGACATGACCGTGATGGGGTATGTATTTTTAAGGTCTTTCTAGTGCTGTGTGGAGAATGGGGAGAGGGGAGCAAGGGAGGAGTATGGGGTAAAGGGAGGTGTACAGTTAGGAAACCTCGACAGAAATCAGAGATGATGAGGATCTGGACTAGGGTGGTGTGGAGATGGCGAGAGGTGCATAGGCTTTGGAAGAACAGGGGACAGGGCCTTCGTGACTCGTCCGCTGGGAAAGAGGGAGGGAGAGAGGACTCAGCATGCCTTTTATGAGCTGAGATGGGGACTGCCTTCTAGGAGACAGACGTTGCCTGAAAATATTGTTTGCTCTGTTGGGAAACGTAAGCCTAAACTTCTCTCAGATACATTGGGATTTGGTTATTAAGCTAAGGGCAGGGAGTGCGCCAGGTCTCAGGAAAAACAAGTGTCCCCGGGAGATTGAGTGCTTTGCATATTTAACTCATTTACTCTTTAAATCAATGCCATTAGGTGTTACTTTCACCTCTATTATAGGTGAGGAAATGGGCACCAAGAGACTGAGTGACTGCCTTAGATCATTCCTGGGATCACTAAGATCCCAGCCACTGAGGGGGAAAAGCTGGTTTTGGACCCAGGCAACCCGACTCCCAACTCTGAGCCTGTAAATGCCAGGCCGTCGTCCCAGTGTATTTGGTACACTGGTCATGCCTGGAGTGAACCATGAGGCTCGAGGGGAAAAACAAATGCTTGAAGTGCAGCTCTTCTAATTCATGAGTATACTTATTTATTTCCAACCTTTGCCCAAGTTAGACATTCAGGTCATTGGTTCTCAACAGGGGGCAATTCCGTCCCCCCCAGGAGATGTTTGGCAGTGTCCGGACACTTTTGATAGTCACACCTGAGGGGGTGGAGTTACCGGCATCTAGAGGCCAGGTGTGCTCCCAAACAATCTCCAGTGCACAGGAGAGCCCCCAAAACAAAGAACCCCCCAGCCCCTGGGGTAGGTGAATATAGGCTGGAGGAGATGCATATATACCTGTGAAGAGCCACAAACAGGAGGGTGCAATTAATTGTCCAATTGATACATATTTATGCAGTGTCAGGGGCTGTAGGGCAGGCCAGGAAGGAGGTGTGATCCAATTTCCAATTGTACACTCTAGTCGGAGGGATGGGACATATTGGGATGATCACCGGTTAGGTGTTACGGAAATGATTCTGAGGACAATAAGGGCTCAGAGAGGGAATGTTCTCGAAGGATTGCATCAGGCTTCAAGGAGGTGGCACCTGGGGTGGACGCCTCAAAACGGAGCAACATTTCGGTGGGAAAAGGCAGGGTAGGGTCACGCTTTGGGAAGGAGCATGAGAGGTGACACTACGGTACGAATTAGCAGCAGCAGAGGTGTGGAGGGAGAGGTGTGGGGAGGCACAGAGAGGCACGGAGAGGCGGCCACGTGAAATTCAGTTGCCTGACTGGGTTCCTCCTGATGGAGGGGACCAGGATAAGGCCAGGTCACGGAGAGCTTAGAAAACCGGGTATGGATTTGCTATGGTGAGGAACGGGGAGCTAGCGGCATTCTCAAAGTGACGACGTGCTTTGGGGACATTCTTCAGTCGCGGTAGAAAACCCCCTTGGAGGAGTCAGCCTGGATTAGTGGGGACCAGGAGGCTGGGCCGTGACTTAGCTTGCAGCGGTGAGGGGGTCGAGGTGGCGGCAGCAGAAATGGAGACGGATAAACTCGAGTCAATTCTCTGAGCACCCCACAAGCGATCCCCCGTTTATAGACAAGAAAGCAGAGGCACGGTGAGGCCAAGGGACGTGTCTGCTGTCGCTGATGATGACCCAGCTCGCCAGTGGCAGGTCTGGGCTGGGCCGGGGCTTGTCTCCTTGTGGGGACAGCAGCGGAAGCTCAGCGGCTGGGTCTGTGGAAAACCTGGCGACTAGGCTGTGAAAAGGGCGAGACCAGCACTCAGAGCACACCCCGGGCAGAGGCCGCGGGGATCGCTCGGCGCAGCGGGGCTGTGCTCGAGCGTGGGGCCAGGACCAACGGCCTTCTGCTTTCTTCCTCTGTAGCCAAAGCGCCTTTAATCAACAGGCTGTGCTTCCACAAGAAAGGGGAAGGAAGGATGTTAGGGTCTGTAACTAACTTGAAAGAGGGCTGAGTGAGGCGAACCAAGAGGAAGTCGTTGGGTTTTGATGGAGGGAAAGTGTGTGTGTGTGTGTGTGTGTGTGTGTGTGTGTGTGTGTGTGTGTGAGAGAGAGAGAGAGAGAGGGGCGGGGGGGGCCTTCAGAGGAGCAATTTCCTTAGGGGATGAGAGGCTAACGAGAGTGAGGCCTAGGTATCCGGGTGCAGGGCCTCGCAGGCAGAGAGAACTGGGGTGGGAAGCAGTGTCGTGGCCGAGCCAGGGGGCTCCCATTCCTCTGCACCCCGCCCCTCCTCACCCCCGTTGCTCTTCTTTCCCTCCAGAGGAACCGGTGTCCTGGGACCTGGGTAGAGTCACGTCTGTGACCCGCCCGCTCGCCTGGCCGCCGTTGCCCGCAGTGGGGGGGCCTGGAGAAGATGAAGGCGTCCGTGGTCCTCTCCCTCATTGGCTATCTGGTGGTCCCCGGCAGCGCTGATGTCTTGGGACGCTGCGTGGTGGCCAAGATGCTCCATGACGGAGGCCTGAGCAATTTTGAGGGCTACAGCCTTGAAAACTGTGAGTAGGCCCTCTCAGCCCCCTCCCTCCGCCTCCCCTCTCCCTCCGCCCCTTGCCCAGGCACCCCCAACTCCAGCCCCCCTCTGAGCCACACACCCCACCCCTGCTCCGTCATAGGGGTGTGCCTGGCTTATTTCGAGAGCAAGTTCAACCCCGAGGCTGTCTACGAGAACAACCCTGGTTCCTACATGGGCTTCGGCCTCTTTCAGATTCGCGACCCTGACTGGTGCAACAAGGGGAAGAACCTCTGCCACGTGTCCTGCTCCGGTAGGTCCCCTCCCTCCGTCCCACAGAGGGCACTGGGGGCCACAGCGTTGAGCTCAGAGTCTGCCTTCCTAGGGGCCAGAGTTGACAAGTTTGGGGCGGGAAGGAGGAGGGCTTGGCAGGGGCTGGGCTGAACCAAATCCAAGGTGGGGCCCTCCAGGGAGGGACACAGGCAGAAAGGGCAGCCGTGAGCCAGGCCCGGGGGAGGCCCACACCCAGATGCGCAGAGACAGGGTGGCGATGTCGAGAGGAGGCTGGCAGGACGCTGTAGGCCTGCGAGCCAGGGGCCTGAAGGGTGACACGGAATCACACGGGAGCCTCTCTAACGGCAGCACCTGGTGCCTTCCCTGGCGCTCTGATTCGGCGGCCACATGGTGATATCATCCTCTTCGTTTTCTCCACAGCTTTGCTGAATCCAAATTTAAATAAGACCATCGAATGTGCCAAGACAATTGTTAAAGGAAAACAAGGAATGGGAGCATGGTGAGTGGTGCATCTTTAAATATTCTGTATCAATGACTTTTACCCATTTCGTCGTGATCTTGGTCTAGTTTTGGCTGCACATCCACAGGCTCAAACTAGTGGGATCCCAGTCAGCAAGGTAGCAGAACCACACCATTGAGTCCTACAGCCCCAAGGCCACAGAAGGAAGGAAACAGCTATCAGTCAAATTGCCTGAAGTTGAGTCC